ATTAATAAGGCTAGACTTGTTGCTAAAGACTACAAGTAGAAAGAATGTCTTGATTATTTCGATACCTATTCATCTATGAATAAAATTACTTTCATTCATATGCTTATAGCAATAGCAGTATCGAGTGGTTTGCATATATATCAAATGAATGTCAAAATGACTTTCTTAAATGGTGAATTAGATGATGAAATTTACATAGAGAAACCTGAATGATTCGTTGTCTCAAGAAAAGAAAAGAAAGTATGTTGACTTATCAAATCACTTTATAGATTAAACAATACTTATAAAAATGGCATAAGAAATTTGACATAGTTATGGTGTTACATGATTTTAAAATTAACGCTCAAAATGGATATGTCATGATATGTTTATACATAAATGACATGCTAATTATGGGTAATAATAAAACTATAGTTCAAACTACCGAACAGATGTTAATAATAAGTTTGAAATGAAGGATTTGAGTGTTGCCGATGTTATATTAGGAATTAAAATTTCTAGAATATAGGAGGGTCTCATATTATGTCAATCACACTATATATATTGAGAAGATTCTTGATAAGTTCATGAAATATGAGGTATCAACAGATTCTCCATACTTTAACAAGCTTTGGTGCACTTAGCTATCTTGAACACAATTTTGTCATCAAATGGGCAAATTTCAATTTTCAATACTCCAGTTAAGGGAACACCATTTCATTGTTTTGAGAGGAAAACATTCTAAATCTATTGCGATGATGAAGTCTTAGATCACTCAATTTAGGGAACAAAATTGAGCTTGTCATTCCTTATTTCACAATTCCAATGTTCAAAGCGTCGTGTTCTTCTTGTCTTCCAATAATTTCTTCAATTGCTTTACATTTAATAACCCACGGACCTGGTAGATCCACAAGTGAATTGTCCATCGAAGGTGAGAATAAGTACCTTAAGTTCTCACATTTTGAAACTTCAAGATGTGTCAAATTCTTAAAGATATAAATTCCTTTAGTAAACACTTTGTATGTGCACTAATTTGGGTAGAAATGTCTCTCCCAATGATGTTAGTTGACTAAATATACTAAATTCTGCATCATCTTTTGTAAACTCAAAGTCAAAAAGGATGGACATATCACCTTAAAGTTCCACCTACAATTCTCTTAGTTTATGATATCTAACTTGGCTTAGCTCATCCAATATTTTTATGCTACATCCCAATTTACCAACGTACAACAACTTCAAGTTAGGCAATGTAACTTGTAAGATATATGCTTAAAGATGTCAGCCGAAATTGTGTAATCATTAAACTTCATTAGTTTGAATATCACCTATAACTTTGTAGGATTAATTAAGATCTTCTTGCGATGAATTAGTTATGTCAATAACAGTAAAAAAAATGTATTTTAATAAAAAATTATGGAAACATAAAATATAAAGCCCATTAGAAAATGTAAATTTCAACCAAGTTTAAACATGTATTTGAAATGTGTGTAAATTAGACTACTACAAGTTTTTGAAGATTATAATTCAAAAAATAGGTTTGAGGTTCTGTAATCCAAAAATCAAGTAATAATTCCATATTTTAATATTAACATATAATATTATAAATCAATTTATATACCCACCCCCACCCACAAACCCTAATTCATTTCCACAAATATCTTTTCACCCAAATTATTTCTCGATATCTTTTCACTTGCTCATACCTTGACGACTCTTCATGGTACGCAACGATGCTCCTATTCATGACGACAGGCAGTATAGACGATGCGTAGTGCAGTTAAAGCTAGTGCCCAATGGCATCCCATCGACATTGCTCACAAACTCCAGTGGCGAATGGGACACCGTTGCTTCATATAAATGCTGCTACAGGCACAAAATAGCGATTAATCCTTTCACATTGTGCATGAAGCATTGATGACGCGATTGTGAGGGTGTTGGTACTTGGTGCGGTGATGAATGGGTCTTTTTGGGTATAGTGTTGATTATGGTGTTTGAAGACGAGTTGATTTGAGAGCCACAACAACGCTTTCAGATTGTTGCTAAGCGTCATGTGCAGTGGTATTGAGATTGCCACTCTAACGACGCTCGCCGTAGTTTTGTAGATGATTTTCGTGGAGATGGATGTTGTGATTCTTAGTAGTAGTGGTGGTAGTGTTGGCAGTAGTGCAGGTGGTGGTAAGGTTGTGGTGATGGATCTAATAATGATGGTGCTGATGATAGTAGTGCAGGTGGTAGTGCAAAGGTTGGATTGGATTGGGTAGTATAAAGAGGTTCTGTAACAAGTTATTTAGGCAATTGTGATAAATAAAACTGTTAATTTTGTGATCAGTAAATAATATGCAGCTGAATAGATAACTTATAATCGGGAGATAATACGTGACCTATTAATTTGATAAATTGTGACCAATATAGAAATTATGACTTATAAAATTTGTGATTTGTGATCGAAGAATAATACTTGAGCAATTTACACAAGTTACAGGTTTTCCTTGTTATGAGTTACAATTCAGGTATCAAAGAGCAATTTACACAGGTTATAGGTTTTCCTTGTTATGAGTTACAATTCAGGTATCAAAG